AAGTGTGCCGGCGCCGCGTTTCTGTTTTGGCTGAAATTTTACAAAACTCCTCTTTCGTTGGCCTAGAGGTGAACACATCCTTTAGGACTCTCTTTTTTGGGTGCTGGTTCGAGTCCCGGCTGCTCCACTTCTGATCCAGCTCCCTGCTAACGGGCCTGGGAAAGCAGTGGAAGATGGCCCAAGTCAAGGAAGTGGCCCCTGCACTCACGTGGGAGACCCAGCAGAAGCTCCTGGCTTTAGATTGGCCCAGCCCTGGCCATTGTGGCCATTTGGGGAGTGAACCAGCAGATGGGAGACCTCTCTCTCTCTCTCTCTCTCTCTGCCTTTCCCTCTCTCTGTCTATAACTCTGCCTCTCAAAATAAATGAATCAATCCTTGAAAAAAAAAAATAGAGCTTACTTAAAAACAAAAAGACTGCCTTGTCCCACGTCGGAGTACCTGGGTTCGATTCCTGGCACTGGCTCCTGGCTCCAGCTTCCTGGTGATGCAGACACCTGGGAGGGGGCAGGAGCCTCCCACGTGGGAGACCCGGATTGTGTGCTGAGCTCACGCTCTTTCCCACGTGTGACTTCGGCCCACGGATCCTGAGCACCTGCTGTGTGCACCTGCTAAGTGCAGGGTGACAGGAAAACACGCAGCAGGTGCTGTCGGCTTCGCCCAGGGGTCTTGGAGGTGGGGTGAAGGTGATGGACGAGGAGGTCTTTGAAAAGCCCACGGAAAATGGGGCTGGGGCCAGTGTTGCGGTATAGCGGGTTAAGCTTCTGCATCCCACGTCAGAGTGCGGGTTCAAGTCCTGGCTGCCCCACTTCTGACCCAGCTCCCTGCTGACGCACCTGGGAAAGCAGCAGACCATGGCTCAAGTCCTTGGGCCCCTGCACCCACGGGGGAGATGTGGATGGAGCTCCTGGCTTTAGTCTGGCCCAGCCCTTGTTCTTGCAGGCATTTGGGGAGTGAACCAGTGATGGAAGACCTCTCTGTCTGTCTGTCTGTCTGTCTCACTGTCGCTCTGTCTCTCTCCCTCTGCCTTTCAAATAAATGCACAAATAATCTTTACATCAACGACAACAATGTAAGACACCCAGCCGGTGACTCATGGACACCACGTGAGGGCTGGGAGTCGTGGCCAACCCAGCCAACCCCAAACTGAACTCCTGACCTCTCTGTTGCCCCATGCCGCTCCCGTCTCGGCTGCTGGAAGTTCATCTAGAGACCGCTTAAGGGTCACAGGAAGCTGTTCCGACCAACGCTGGGAAGACCACGTCCACATGGTCCAGGCCGATCAGATAAGTCTGTCCCCCAGGCGAGGTGATTGGTTGGTTACAACATCAGATCGGAGCTGAGCCAATGAGACTTGATCCTGGGCCCCCTGGTGGACCCCTGGGTTGCTTGGAGGCTGTGTGGGCACAGGGGGTCCACAGGGCTGAACCTTTGCCACCTGGAGGGAGGTGGGTGAAGTGAAAGTTGGTCAAGCAGAGAGTGACACCGGTGCTGCTTCCTTCTTATTTATTTGCAAGGCTGTGTGACATAGAGCTAGAGAGAGAGAGGAAGAGAGAGGGGGGAAGAGAGAGAGGGAGAGAGAGGGAGAGAGAGAGAGGAAGAGAGAGAGAGAGGGAGAGAGAGAGGGAGGGAGAGGGAGAGAGGGAGGGAGAGAAGGAGAGAGGAAGAGAGAGGGAGAGAGGAAGAGAGAGAGAGGAAGAGAGAAAGAGGAAGAGAGAGAGGGGGAGAGAGAGAAGAAGACAGAGAGAGAGGAAGAGAGAGAGGGAGAGAGGAAGAGAGAGAGGGAGAGAGAGAGAGGAAAAGAGAGAGAAGAAGAGAGAGAGAGGAAGACAGAGAGGAAGACAGAGAGAGAGGAAGAGAGAGAGGGAGAGAGAAAGAGAGGAAGAGAGGAAGAGGAAGAGAAAGAGAGGGAGAGAGGGAGAGAGTGAGAGAGTGAGAGAGGGAGAG